ACCCTGGGGGGCCCACACCCCCCTCACAGGCCCCCGACAGCCCCTCACCAGCCGGGCTCATCCCCGGGGGAGATGCCCAAAGCCCCATCGCTGGAAGGGGGGGTATGGGAGGGGGACACGGCCTGGGATCAGCGCAGCTCCCGGGGGGAGGGGTGGCACTTACCATAGACGCGCAGAACCACCGTGGAGCGGACAGGGGTAGCAGCGGTAGAGCTCTGTATCTGCACCGTGTAGCTCCCGGTGTCGCTGAGCGTTAACCCCGCGATGTTCAGGGCGCAGCCCGGCCCCGCTGTCTCCCGCCCCGTGTGGGCCGGGCCGTTGTTCTGAACGGGGTTTGGATATTGGACGTAGATGAGGATCAGGCTGTTTGGATCAGTCACGGTCGCTGATCGGTACCAGTTGCAGGTCAGCAAATCCTGTGGCGGTGGCTGCGGGGCCAGGCTGACGCCCCCTCCCACCACGGGGCTCGGCGGGGTGAGGACGATGGTCACTGGGGTCGGGGTCTGGGCCGGCGCCGGCTGGAGGCAGGAGCCCAGGACGGAGGCTGCGGGGGGAGACCAGAGAGACTGATACTAACTGGTGCCCCTCACTCCCGACCTGCACCCCTCTGCCTTCATTTGTACTGTCCCCTGTTACAGCCCTGTGTGTCCGGGACACCTGGGTCCCCCCTGCCCCCGCTCCACCCTCTCAGCTGCAAGGGACCCCTCGCCAGGTGCCGCCCGGCGCCTTTTCCTGCAGCGGGACCTTCCTCGACCCAGGGGCGGCGTCTCTGGGCCGGGACCCTGGAGTCCGGACCCACAGGCAGGGCAGCCCCACGGGGCCCCTCCGGCCTCAGACTTCCCCTCCCAGCCTCGTCCGCCCACTTCCCCTTTGCTTTGAAGGCAGGAACCTCTGGGGGGGGGGAGGGTCTTTTCCCTCCTCCCCCCCGTGGGGTGCCAGGTCCCTGGGTCTCTGCGTGGGGCTGGTTCCGCCTGCTAGATCTGGGGGAGGGAGTTCAGTGAGGGGGGGGGGTCTGGGGGTGTCCCCCCCCAGTGCCCTGGGACAGAGACACAAACAAACAGCTGATCCCTGCTAATCCCCCCATGCAAAGCAGAAGCTGGGGGGAACAATGGGGCTTCTATGGGGTCCCCGGGGCTTTGGGGCGCAGCCTCAGGGGAGCCTGGGATGGAACCAGCCTGGGGAGGGAAGTGTCAGAGCCCCCCTCCTGCTACCCCAGCCCTGGGGTCCGCCCACCCAGCTCTGCCGGTGCCCCTCAGTCCCGACCCGCAGCCCCTCGGCTTTCATTGACACGGGCTCCTATTGGAGGCCTTTGTGTCCCGGACACCTGGGTCCCACGTTCTCCCCTCTGACCTGCCAGGAGAATCCCCGTCCAAGGGCCGCCCGGTCTGTGGGGGATTCGCCCCATCGCCCGTCGCTGCTGCGGGACCCGCCGGGAGCTGCCGGGGCGGCAGACACGCCTGGTTCCCAGCTGGGGGCAAAGGGCAGAGACGGGGGAAGTGGGAGGTGGGGGGAGCGGAGCTGGCACGAAGCACCTCCCTTGCCCGGCCCAGCTCAGGGACGGGGCAGGGGGTGCGGCCCCTTTGGCACCGAGCCCCCCCCTTCCCGACAGCCCTGCCTGCCCCCCGGGGGGGGGGGACTCACCCGCCCCTCCCCCTGCCCCACCCAGACACGGGGGGGAGGGAGGGGGAGAGAAAGAGAGCGGTGTAGCAATGCGGTCGCTGCAGTCTCAGGAGAACTCCAGACGGACTCTATAGCGAACTCCAGCCCCCTCCCCCCGCTGCTCCTTCGAGGGGGGGGGCGGTCTGGCCCTGGCAGATGCAGTGGGGGGGCGCACACGGGGGAGAAATCGTCCCCTGGGGGGCTGGGGCATGGAAGAGGACAGGGCTCCTCTGGCTCTGGGAATCCCCCCCCAGCTCCCCCCAGGTATTGCCCCCCAGTGGAGGTTGTGTGAAGGGGGGGCTCATCCCTGGAGGCCGCCCATGGGAAGTGGGGGGGCACAGAGAGACAGACCCTCTGTTAGGTTGTGGGGGGCACAGGGGGACCCCTGTGTGTCAGGGGGCAGAGCCCAGACTGATGGGAACCTGGGACATTGCTGGGAGCCAAAGCCCCCCCAGCGGGATGGGCCGGGGCTGGGGGGGGGGCAGGGGGAGAACAGGACACACAGGATGAGGCCCCCGGGCACAGACACCCAGAGCTGGGCTGGGCAGCCTGATCCCGACACGCCTGTGGGGCCACATGTGTCCACTCCCCCTGCCCCACACACGGATCAGGGCCCGTCCCGTCCAGCAGGGGGCGCAGGGACACACGGGGGGCCGGGGGGAGGGTCCCACTAGCTGCGCCCGGCGGTTCCCGGCGTGGCTGAGCGTTACCCCGGGATGTCGGGGAGTCGCTGGCCTGTTGTGGCTGTCCCCGGGGCCGTGGGGCCGAGCAGGGGCTGGGGGGGGCCGTCGGGTTCCATCTGCGCTTGCTGAGCGGTGCCAGCCGCAGGCCAGGGGCTGCAGGGCCAGGCCGGCTCCCCGCCCCTTCCGGGGCTCTGTGGGTCGGGGCGATGGGGAGCTGAGCTCCACGGCCTCCAGAAAGCGACCAGCCTGTCTGGCTCCCAGGCGCTGCTCCCACCCCCAGCGCCAGCCTGGCCGCGCCTCTGCCGAGGAGCGCGAGGGACGCGCCGGCCGCTTCTAGGCGCTGACCACAGGCACAGTCTGAAGGGGAGCATTTAAACCACGCTGGCATTGCCACACATCAGCTGTGCAAGGGGCTCTATTTCTGCCAGGGGTTAGTGACATTTCTGCTTGTTTACTGGAGGTGCAGGAAGAGGTGGTGGGACCTGGCCAAAAGGAACAAGTGAAGCTGTTCATTTCCCGCAAGGGGTGAGGGATAGAGCCGTGTATGTGCGCGCGGGACTCACCCCTGCGGCGCCTCCTGCTGGTGTCCTGGGAATTAGCTCGTTTCCAGCCTTGGAGCCCCCTCTGCAGGCCGGTGTCCCACTGCCGCTGGGCCCCCGCCTCCCTCCCCGGACTCCGGTGCCCTGTTATCTGGGGTGCTGCCCCTGGCAGTGACCCCTCACTCTCAGGGGATCTCACCTCCCCAGGGAACCCCCACCCCATCCCCAGCTCGCCTCAGTCATAGGCTACTGCCAGTCACCAACTCGCCCCTGCGCCCTGGGGCAGACTGCAGGGTCACCTCTCCTCACAGGCACGGGGGGTCTGGACCTGCTGCCTCGGCCTGTCCTTGGGCTGCCCCCGGCAACCCCAGTCCCTGTTCGCCCTTAGACTAGGCCGCAGCCTGGGGGGGGTTCCAGGCCGGAGCTCCCCAGCTCCCTTGGCCTTCCCCAGCCCTGCCCCACTCCAGGTCCCTTCTCTAGCTCCTGCAGCCAGGCCCATCTCCCTCCACCGCTACAGGAGACTGGGTGTCTGCCCCTGGCTTTATAGGGCCAGCTGGGGCTGTTCGGGGCATGGCCCAGCTGTGCTGCCCCCCCAGTCAGCCCAGCCCAAGGCTCCCAGCCCCCCTCCAGGGGCGGCTTTTAACCCCTTTGGGCTGTGAGCGGGTGACCACCCCGCTACAGTACAGCCCCGGAGTGAACATCAGAGGATCTGTTTCTTCTCGCCGCTGAAAGAAATGCAGCTCTTGCCTTTCCAGAGGTGACTGACTTCAGAAATAAAGTCAGAGGTGGAGCGATGCCTGTCCGGGACGCAGGAGAGCGTCTTCTGATTCTAGTTTGGGGGAAAGGAGAGTGACCACAAATACACATCCAGCTTCAGCATCAGGGCCCTGGAGTCAGGAGAACATCACTAACTAGGACGGGGGGGGGGCACATTGGGGTTATGAAACTGTCTGAAAGGCCGGGTAGGGAAGGCTGTGCCCCCCCAAACAGCCTGGGCCCCACCCCTATTCGCCCCTTCCCACTGCCCGCCCCCCTCAGAATCTCCAATCCATCCAACTCCCCTGGTCCTTGTCCCCTGACTGCCCCCCCGGCCCCTAACCGCCCCCCCGCCCAGCCCTTAGGGCCATTTAGAAACTGACAATAACAAATGTTAGAAAGTGAAATCTGTCTCCTTTCACCATTGCCTCCCTCCCCCTGGGACCTTCCCACCAAGAGCAGGGTGACCCTCCCCCACAATCTCTGCAGCTCTCCCCACTTGTTCCCTTCATTTTCTTTCCACTTTCTGGGGCTATTTCCATCTGATCTTTTGTCTTTTTGCTCTACTTACTTCCTGCCTTAGGGTGGATTAGGCCAGAGGGTTAGGTTTGGAAGGGCTCTCAGGAGGTATCTAGTCCAACCCCTGCTCAAAGGGGGTCTAAGCCCCAGGCAGATTTTTGCCCCAATCTCTACATAGCTCCCTCAGGGACTGAACTCACAACCCTTAGTTTTGGAGGCTGATACTTAAACCACTGAACTATCCCAGGTCCTGCCACACTTGGCCCAGGCAAGGAGCAGTGGAGCTAAGTCCTCCGAGCAGCCTAGTGAGACTGTGCAGGAAACGACCAATCAGGGAAAGGCTGCAGAAAGCAGCCAATCAGGGCTCAGGAGGGCCCTATAAGAGGAGCTGCAGCGGCACACCCAGTCAGTCTCTTGCTGGAGCTGGGGGAGAGGAGAGGAGAGGGGGCTCTTGGCTGGCCCAGGGCAATGGCAGCACCATGGACAGCTCAGGGCGGGCGGTGAGGACGAGCTCCCGGCTGGTTGCTGGGCCTGGACGTAGACGAGCCCGGTGGTGAGGGTGATGTGCTGGCGAAGGCTGGGGCTGTGGGGAAGTGGGCCTGGGAAGTAGCCGTGGTGTGTGGCTGCTATTCTTAGGCTCCCTGGGCTGGGATCTGGAGTAGTGGGTGGGCCTGGGTCCCCTCCCCTCCCATAGGCCACGGGGGAAGGGGGCTGACAGTTGAAGTGTGATCCACCCCCAGAAGGGGAACTGAATGGCTAAGAGGCCCTGCTGGGGACAGAAGAGACCCACTGGGTGAAGACGATTGTCTTCAGGGAGGGAGAACTTCCTGGCCTGATACTATTTGAAGGCTGCAGAGACACTTGACCAGGGGGTGCTCATGAGAGATGGGAGCCACCCTGTCATATGCCCTCTTTCCCTTGCTGTTCTCTGGCTGCCTCCCCTCCTGGCCCAAAGCTTCCCAATCTCCTGCCCTGCTCCCTGGCTGTTTCTAATCGGCTCCAGGTGCTAACAAAGAAGCAAAGTCAGATTCAGATACTGAATGAAGGAGTCTTCTAAAAAACCCTGTAGAAAAGGGAGACTGACAAGCCCCCCCCCATCAGGTGAAATTCCCTGTGGTGCAGAGAGCTGGGCCAAGGCCTGTGCCCCAGGTAAACGTGCAAAGCAGGGCTTAGCTCACACCATTCACACACAAGCTCAGAGTTGTGCACTCCACTGTAATGCAGAGCGGTGGCATTTCCCCTGGGTCACCTCCATAAGACCCTACTGCAGTAAAAACCCAGCCCCGGCCTTCCTACCCCTTCCGAGGAAGCCGTGTGACTGTTCCCAGCTGTGATGGGGAAGGAGACCAGGGTAACGTTCTAGCCCCACTGACTCAATGGGAACTTTGCCATTGACTCCCGTAGTGCTGGGAGCTCAGCCGTAGCCCTGCTGAGCGAGCTCTCCTATGAGTGGAAGGCAGCAAAAAACCCACCAACAACCCCTCAGCTGTAGATAACAGACGACCCCGAATGTGAAAAGTAGGGCATAGTCCTCTCGCTCCGAGTAATCACCAATCTTCTCAGAGGCTGCTGGTGGTGGGAGAGGTTTGGGACCTATGTCAGACCCAGCTCACCCCACGGCTGGAAGGAAAAACCGTGCTGAAGAGCACCTGACTGCTCATGGAGTGGCAGGGGCTGTACTGAAGACGGCATCAGATCAGTGTCTGGTGACATAACCCCGTGGAAGAGAAGGTCCTGAATTTGGGGGAGTTTAGGTACAGACTGAAGTTGTTATATGGAGGTGGGCCTGTGACGAAGTGGGGGGTGACGGCCTCAAACAGACAGGAAAAGAGACACTGTTTCTAGAGCTTGGTGAACTCATGGGGAAATGGGACAAGAAGTGGGTGTAGATGATAAAATAAATACGACAGCAGAGTCCTGTTTAACTGAACTGCTACATTCTCTGGCTTCCTTGCCACCCTCTGTCCCCCCTCCCCCCCAAATAAATCCGGTACTTGTCAAGTCAGGTGTGACGAAGTGGGGGGTTTTCTTGTTTTCTGTGGAGTTTCAATGGTTTGCATGTGGAGGGGGTGGGACTCAGTTTCCCTGGGTGTTACTGGTTTAACGAGGTGAGGGGAGAGGGAGTGTGTTTTGCAGAGGACCGGACAGAGGACTTGGGGACCCAGCCAATGGCCTAGAGGATGGATACCCCAGCGACCGGTGACCTGGCGACCTGGTGACCCAGAGGCCCAGCTGAGGAGACGCAGCCGGTTCTGGCCAGTGGGAGGACAATGGGCTGCAGAGTGAGGACCCAGTGACCTAACCAGCCGTTCAGCCAGAGCAGAAGCGAGAGAGGAGGCCCCGGTTACAACCCTGTTACCTGGAGAGAAGACAATGGACAGAGGCGGGGGCTGG